CTAATTTCCAGGTGAATTGACTATTTCTTTGGCATCCTTAACCTCGCCCTGCGAGAACCCCATCGACCTCGATGACGATCCCTTGTCCGGCCTCCGTAAACTTTCCCACCCGGGTAATCTTTCCCTAACTTTGTCCCTGGGACTTCCCGCCGAACCTGCTTAGTAGTTCGTTCATTCGTCTTTGTATCTGTTCTGGTGCTTGTGTGCCGTCGACCTCGCCTGGCACAGGACTACTCTCTGCCGACTATCGATGGTACGACTGGTTCTCGATATACCGTTGTCGTATAAGCGATTCACGTCTTTTCCGCTTTCTGCTGATCAGAGCTCCTTACGACGATCTCTCGGTGTTCTACCTTCTATGCACGCCGATCTCACACGCCCTTAGCCCTGTCCGGGTCCTTTCCTCTTTGTCTTGCTTTTTTCTCTGTGTTTTGTCTCTTTCCGTTTTTTCCCCAGGCGCCTATGTTCCGCCGCTTTGAGGCCGGCTAAGTCCCTGACGCGACGTTTCTCCGGCGCCCTCACGGCGGCCACTGCTGCGCGCGCCCCAAGAAGGTGCACCACCACTACTATGACAACCACCGCCAGGGCCACCACGGTCACGACGGCCACGGGCACCACGACAAGTGCCGCCCCGAGTGCGACGACCGCAAGTACAAGTACCACCACTACGACTACTGCAACTCCTGCCAGTGGTGAGCGCGGCCTCAAGTCGTATTGAGAGACGATGCGATCGTTGAGATGTCAGTTCTTGAAAGACGAATCCGTTTGGGGAGACGAAATGGTTTGCTGTCCAAAGACAAGAATCTCGAAAGGTGGCTGGTAATGTCTGCGGAGTGAGTGATGGGACGTAGTCTAAAAGCGAAGGGGGATCACTCGGTAATGAGGGGCCAGGAGTGTGGAGGTTTACTAGATTGGGAACGTTCCTGTTTTCCTTGAGTCAGTCCTTACCTTAATATACTTCGTCGACGAGCAGATGCCTGGGCTATGGTGAAGGGGAAGTGACCTCGTACTCATTTGAGTCGTCGATTCCATACATGTATGCACGTCACATCCGCACACAACAGTTCCAAAATGGAAACGCAAGAGGATCAGCATTCATACAGCACCTTTAAGCCGCCAATCACCCTCAAGATAGACCATCCCTCGTCCCACAGTGGTATCACAATTCAAAGATAGACGCGCCGTTCACCCCATTGTATACAGTCCCGTTCAAGCAGGTAGCTCAAACACAGGCTCGTCCGACTTATTCTCCCTTTTCTCCTTTTTCTCCCCCAGCTGGCTCGGCACCGGCGGAACCGGCGGCACATCCATCTCAGCGGCAAGACTCTTCCCGTCGAGTTCAGTTCGCAGGGCCCACGGCGTTGCTGCCCGTGAATCTATTTCGGACACGGCCGTCGTCGGCGTCTGAGGTGCCTCGGACGGAGGCATCAGGCTGTCGGGGCGATCCCCCTTGGGCGACGCGTTGGCCTGGGCCTCATGTCGCTGACGTCTCCGTCGGGTGAAGAAGAAGAGGGCAAGCAGGGCTAGGAGGACGGCTGATCCAACGCCAACACCGACACCGATACCGATTCTCGCAGGTGTTGAGAGGCCATTGTCTGTCGACTCGGGCGTCTCGGTCGCTGCAGGGGAGGTCTCAGCCGGTACATTTGTCGAGCCGACTTGTGAGGAAGTTGAAGGTGATGTCGAGGTGGTCTGTGTCGGTGGAGTGGTCGACGTCGCAGTGTCCGTGTCGGCGAAGGAGGGGAGGAAGCCACGCTGCCAGACGACTTCGCCGCCGACCGATGTCGGCAGCTCAGCCACATTCACGAGAACCGAGGACGCCGTGAAAGCAACGGTGCGATCCGTCTGTGGGCACCAGCACTGGTCCGCCTCGGTGAGGGCATCCTGGCGTTCGGACTGCTCGCAGGCGACCCACTGCTCGGATGTGCCGTTGCAGTAGGTCAGGCCGACCCAGGGCGTCCCGTCAAAGGCGCCCTTGTCTGGACAGCTGCGGTGTTCGTAGGTCGGGTCGCTGCAGCCGGCGAGATAGGTCACACCGAATTGTTGGTTGTAGCAGGCGTTGCTCGTGAGACACATGTCGCCCTGCTGGCAGCAAGAGACGCGGCCAAAGGCGTCGTTGCCACAAGGGATCATCGAGTCGATGGCCTCTTGGCCTGGCGCGTAGTAGCAAGTGCCATTGCTGATGAAGGCGTCGCGGGACGCCATGGTGGTGTCGGCGTCGGTCTCGGCGACTGTCAAAGGTGGGCTGTTGGTTGTGAGGAGGGAAAGCAGTGGTTTCGGATGGTCTCAATGGCAAAGTGCCATCCAAACGTAATCGTCGTGTCGATGTGAGATGGGTGTCGTGACCCAAGATGAACAGTGAATGAGGCCTCGTCTGTCTACTACTTGGCGTTCTGGAAAAGAGATGGAAGAAGCCAAGGTCACTCCTCGTTTCGCCCACAAGAGGAGAAAAGGTCGCCTATTTCAGGAATGGCAATGACGCTCCTCCCGCGCCTTCCCGCCCACGGCACAGCGACCCGCACTCCCAAGGAGGAGCCCAAGAAAACAGTTGGCGCGATCAGGCAAGACAAGCCGACGAGCCAAAAAAAAAAAAAAAAAAAAAGAAAAAAAAAAAAAAAAAAGAAGCCACAAGGCAGGCAGCCCGCCGCCGTCCGCCGCAACAAAGCGTCAATAGTGTCTTGGATTTCTGCTCTCGGGATCCTCCTGCTATGCCCCCTGATCCCGTCTCTTCTCGACGCGCTGGGGATGTGGTTGGGTGAGGCTCTCATGGCTGTGGGGTTGGGTGACTGAATAGGGCAAACTGGGCGGGGACCCGGCGGCGGCGGGCTTCCGTGTTTGGCAATCAGTGCTCCCTGGTGCACCGAGGGGGGATCGCCTCCAGGGGCTTTAGGGAGTCCCGGGGCCTTAGGTCTCTTCCAGGGGCCTTGGGGCGGCAGAACCCCTATGGCGTGGCGTGCGCTAGGGACTTAGCGACGGCGTCTGTGATGTCATTTCTCGTGATGCTGGGACCTCGGCATCTTAGGGCGAGGGCACGATGAAGCAGATCTCTTCTGCCGCGACAGGACAAGGGCATTTTTGAGCTGGGCCAAGTGATGCTCAATCAGGCCAGAAAGAGTTCGCGCTAGATGCCGGAGGATCGCCCCATTGCATGGTGGTTTCGCCGCCTACTCCTGGCCTGGACGTACACCCAGAAACAACAACGCGGCACCCAATTCATACCCGAAGCTGCGATGTACCTTGGCCTAGATGAGATGTACCTCAGCCTAGATGCAATGTCGCCCCAGTTCACAGCAAGATAGCAAAAGAGTGAGTAGAAAACATGGAGGGGTATCTTCTGCCAAGTAACTGCCGCCCCGATAAACACCATTAATGCGAAGAGACCTCCCGTTGCCCAAAACGCAGCATGCACCATTCCCCCCCCCCCCCCCATCGTTGACAAGCCCCGACTCCATGAAAAAGCGCGCGCCCTGCAAAATAGCCTGCCCTCACCCCAGCCGATCCGCCATGGTGGGGAAATCTCGTATGGAGACTTGGCTGATCAACAGAGCTACAGAGCTCCACCCAGCCGTCTTGAAATTCGTTCGCGGCGCGCTCGAGAAGCAAGTTAGTGTCTTTCTCTCGGTGATGGCCGAGCCCCAAGGGAACGGCCACCGCCATGTTTCGCCGGAGTTGGCCATCGTCCTATTAATTCTTCATCCCTGACACCTCGGCCAGCGATTGTGTCGATCCCGACATGGCGACCGTGACCCATGCCCTCGCAGATGTAGCCCGCTGTCTGCCCCGTATCGCTGACCTGTTGATCCAGTGCTTCATGCAACCGCACCAGTTTCCAACCTTCTCAGCCTCTTCCATCCTGCTAGACGCCAGGAATGTCGCTGTCAGAGTCGTCGCTCGACTCGATATCAATAGGCGGGGGCAGAGGCCGCGCAGGCTTGGGGGCCTGGCCGAGGCGCTCCCTCAGTTGAGCAGGCGAAGGATTATTATGCGCCACGAACCCGCTCCGCGCCCGCGACGGTGACGTGTGCACCGTCGGGTCCTCCGTCGCCGCCGTCGCAGAAGACCCCGCAAGCCCGCCGTTCATGTCCGACAGCGCGACACGAGGACCCGGCGGTGGGGCAGGCGTGCCGTTCTGGGCATGGTCCGTCTGCGCGGCGCGGCGCCCGTCCGTGGGCGTCGTCGCGTCAACGCCGGGACGAGCGTGCTCGGCCGCCTTGACGGAAGCGGGCCGCCGGCCGCGCAGCTTGATGCCGAACCGCTGACGCACGCCGCTCTGCGCCGCGGCGAAACAGGCCTTGAGGCTCTTGAGCTTGGTGACCTGTGCCTCGCCGGTCAGGTCCCGCTTGGCGTGCAGCACCTTCAATTCGTAGGCCTGCTCTTGCTTTGCCATGCGATCGTAATAGTCGGCGCGTTGCTCCTCCGTCAGCTCGCCCAGGGCCCTTAGGAGTTCAGCAGACTCTGATCGAACGCCGTAGGGCGGCGTTTTGGTGGCAGATGGCGCGTGGCTTTGGACCGGCGTGTGCTGTTGTGAGCGTGGCGTGTGCTGGTTGTGTTGACTTGCCGGCACAGGCGTGAAGCCAGACGACGGAACCGGGACCGGAGTATGAGACTGGAGAGGGCGCTGGGTATGGGCCTGAACATCACTACGGACGAGCGTCAAGTCTGTAGGGGGAGCTTTGCTCGCAGGAGTCAGGGGCCCTGTCATCAGCGGCGGCTTCCAGTACAAAGGCTTGGCGCTACCGGACGCGACAGAGGGTAGCTTCGGCAGAGGTACAGGTGTCGTGGAGATGGCGTGCTCGGGTGCGCCGGGGGCATGTTGGACAGGTTGATGGTGCTGAGGCTGTTGCTGAGGTTGAGGTTGCTGCGGCGGCTGCTGCTGAGGTTGCGACATCTGCTGCTGGTGCTGAGGCTGCGACATCTGATGCTGGACGGCGGGCGGAGGACGTGGATCGTTCGGTTCAGGACTGTATGCTCCACAGACGTTGTTGCCAGCATGATAGCCGACGCCGCCGGCTGTCGAAAAGGTGGCGCCACAGGCAGCGCACCGGCTCATGACTGGGCCTTTTGGCGGCTCTGTGCATTTGAGCTTGGAGATGTGCTGTCAGAGGTTAGGCATCTGGGAACCCAGCGAGATACGGGGAAAGACACGGCGATGCTTACGTAGAGGTGGGCTGCCTTGTTGGTAAAGTGGCGGCCGCAAGCCTCACACTGGTAGATACCAGGGATGGGAGCCGAATGTTGAATATCAGTCTGCACGCTCGCGATGGCCGGACGGATCCGTTCTCCGTGCTCAATAGAATCCGTCAACTCAAAGCCCAGGCGCTTTGTGGAAGCCAGGGCGTCGACCAGTTGTCGTGCGCCTATAGTGGCGAGACACTTGTAGAGACAGGCTATCATGAAAGCATCGCTCCCCTTGGAGACGAGCGCAGGCATGGCCTGATCAATCTGCCCTGTACTGAGCTGTTGGGCGACTGCGGTGCCGAGAGATGGTGCCACGAATGTGGCCAGCTGCTGGCGAAGCGTGTCTTTGCCTATAGCAGGAAGTTGCTCTGCTACCATGCGCATCTGTACGATTTGTTAACAGAGACAGTGACAGGGAGGGTGGTCAAGCAGCAGACATACGACGAAGGTCATGTGGTAATCGGAGCCCACTAGGGTCTTCTGCCAGTAGTCGCGAACGAGCCGTCTCAACACGTCAGAGGGGGCCTTTTCAAAGACCCGACCGAGGCTTGCAAATTGCTCGTCAAACGACAGAGGTGTCGGCGGGGTGCCCCGATCTCGACTGGGATGAGACGCGAGCTTTGTTGCCGAGCTGGGTGCCTGAGGTGCAGAGGGGCCATGAGGACCGTTCGATGACGACTGTCCATTTGGAATCTGACCACCATTCATCTGCACTGAAGAAGAGGAAGAGGTCGTAGGAGCAGGCTCGCCGTTGGGCACGGAGACGGGATCTTTTTGCTGCTCAGTGTCTTTTTGCTGCTCTGTGTCTTTTTGCTGCTCTGTGGTGACAGAGGCCAGATCATCATGGCTACTGACGCGTGCGCCTTGCTCAGTCCCGGCCATGCCGTGGTCGCCGTCGGCGTCAACGCCGGACGACGAGCTCGAGCTCGCGACCAACTCGGGTGGCATGTTGAACAGGACCCAAAGCCCAGCAAGAAGCTTGCAGTAGAATGCTCTGGTGCCGCTGAAGTCGACGGACGATGTCAATGAACGAGAAGGAGGTATCGCGACCTGGTGTGAGGCGCGTCGAGGCGAGTGGGTCTACAGGGTTTCAACGCAATAAGGGGGGCGTGGACGCGCCGGGTGGCACCTCAGTCAGTTGCATTCGACGGCAGCGTGTAGATTGAGTTCCGATGGATGCTTGACAGATCGGTTTACCTCTCGATCCCATGCGTCAAGGTACCGGAGGGTTTTCGGGAACCTACGAGCAGTACGGAGCCAGGTGAGTCTGATGGATTGCCGGTGGCCGTTGATGTTCGGAGACGATGTACGAAGGGAAGAATTGGGACGGGGAAATGCGAAAAAGCTATAGAATGACTAATCTTTAGGTGTGGGTCCAAATTAGCCTCTTTCCTCAGGTCACATGTAGCCTCGCTTGTCTCGTCACCCAAAGGGCTCCTCTCCTTGAGACGTCCATGCTTGCTATTAGGTGTACCTTGACAGAAGGAAGAAAATGCCAATAGCACCGGGATATCGTGAGCCTAAGGTAGGCAAGGCACAAAAAAAGCGATGGAGTGAGGGCGATGAAGCTGCCCAGGTGTGGAGAGATGGGGAGAGATGGGACTCGTCACAGCCGGCACGTGCCCTGAAGACCAGCGCTGACCACAACAGGAAGGCGGTCTGTTTTGGCCATAAACCTTACCTAAGGCAGCTTAGGTACCTAAGATGCCTACATGTACCTAGGTACCTTGCCCTAACCCTCCTAGTGCAGATGGCTGATCCCCTACAGCTCTTCGACGACAAGGTTTGAATAATCGTGCCTAGGTAGGTACATATGCAGTACGACCTGTCGCCTTCTAATGTCGAAAGCGCTGTCAGAAAGCTACACAGAGACTTCGCTCGTCTCTCTGAGCGATTGGTAAGTAAGACTTTACGTACTCGTAACAATGGATACACGGTAAGACGTAGATGGATTACTGCCGTACGAAAGACTGTATTCGAAGTGTCGGAACGTCCATTCTTACATGCTGTCACCACGGAATTGAACAAAGTGGATTGATTGTTGTTAAGGTACAAAAGGAGACTTCCAGAAGTCCAAACGAAGGTAATTGGTCAGATCCAGCATCGGTAAGGAGTCTTACCGGGGCGATAACGACAGAACAAATGCATCAAATGAGGACTCCACATTTGGGATGAAAGTACTCCTGGGTCACAGAACAGAACCTTGCCTGATCGGCAACACACCCCCTCAGATGGGTAGGCGAGCCTCTCTCTGACCATCTGAACCACGAAAGATCAGGCAGATGCCTGTTGGCGGCTTTTGGTAGATTACAATGATCCTGACATGCCCATGATTACAATGGTCCTGACATGACCATGATTCCCTGGCTTTGGATCACTACCCCCAATGTTCCTTTTACGTGACCCGATTCTTCGCATCTTGACCTGATTAGATCTAGACATGATATTCTGTGAGATGACCCGTGGGTCGTTGTCCTTGGCATGGGTTGTAGCATTATGCTCCCTTGACAATGTGGCCGACCTGATATTTTCGTCTATCACAAGGTACCTAGTTGAAGGCTTGAAGCACTACTACGAGGCCTAGCGAGTGCCCTGTCTGTGTGTTCGAAGGATCCTCATCCCTCAAAACCTGGGTCATCGCAGCCTGCCATGCAGTAACCTCGATGAATGCTGTTTCGGATGCAAAACAACAGAGAGAGGCGTTTTCATGGGCTCGCCCCTCTGAAGCTATTTTCATCGAGCACATGGCCCGTGAACGTGCGAATTGAGACTTCATATTGAGCAGAGAACGTGTCCATCGAAGCATAAAACTAGTGTCAAGCCATGTAGTAATGTAAAGTCCAGACTGCCGCCAAGGATACCGTAATGATGGCTGAAGCTTCAGCGATGGCTCAATTCATACCCTTGGAGTCCCTGAATCCGTTGTCCGCTGATCATCCCTCCAGGACCATTTCAGTCCAATGCCTGTTCGACCCCCTGTCATCCACACTGTTGCCAAACTTGCCGGCGAGCAAAATACAACCGTTGAAACGAAAAATAAAGCCAGAGAACTCCAATTCCGTACCCATCCCCCAATTCAATGACCAGTTCACTCATCGTCCCCAGTCGAATCAACAACACCGCTGTCAGCCTCCTTCGGGGCACGGTTCTCCTCCATCTGCTCCATCGAGTCGTGAAGGCTCAACGAAGAAACACCAAACTGCGAAGCAGCCACGTGGCGCTGCATCTGCCTCCAAGGCGCCAGGCCTCCAGCATTCTGCAGAAGAGATGGCTGCTGCAGAGCCGGCCGGGGGTTGCCCATGACAGAAACCTCGACGCCCATGCCATATCCCGCCGGCAGGCCCTCGACCGTCTGGTCCGGCGCGAGCAGGCGCCAAAAGGCGGTCGCCACGGCCTCGGGGTCCCTGTCGAGGCGGGCCGCGTACCCGCTGAGCAGCCAGGGCAGCGGCATGGCCCAGTCGGCGCGGGCGACGATCTCGGGGTAGCGCAGGCCGCGCCACTCGGGGCGGCTGACGCGCGACGGTCCCGGCTCGCCCTAGAAGTCGTTGACGCGTCGGATGCCGAGGTTGACGCGCAGGCGGTTGCGGATCACCTGGTTGCGGAGGTTGATGATGTACTGCCAGCGCGCGATCCAGGCCTGGTGCCGCCGCCACGGGCCCCAGCCGCGCTGCCGCTCGGCCGTCGTCGTCGCGAGGAGCTTGCGCGCCGCCGTCTGGCCGGTGTCCATGGCGTTCTGGAAGCGGAGCACCCAGTCGCGGAAGGCGTTGGGGTTGGCGGGTAGGTACAGTTGGAAGGCGTTGACGAGGCCGTCGAGCCGGAGGAGGGCTTGCAGTTCCTGCTCAGGTGTCCATGGGTGGAGGATGGAGCGCGGGAGCTCGTCCCAGGCCGAGAAGATGGCGCAGACTAACTCGTCGCAGCGATTCCAGGACGGGCTGTCCGGCTGGTCGGGCCAGGAATTGGTGGCAGTGTATGGGAGGAACTCGGGGCGGAGGCCGGCGGGGTCCGTGTAGCACCATGTTGGATGGTCGATGAGAGACATGTCGACAAAGTCTGACGCCATTTTTGTGGTTCTTGGAGGTCTGTTTCTGTGTGGCTTCTCAGCATTAGTCGGCCTGATGGCGGTCAAACAGCGACTTTGATAAGTACGAACATGTAAGGTGACTGCGGTCGAGGGTCTCCGGTAGAGTAGGCCAATGATATATCGGCAAGTGATGGGAACTAAGAGACTGCTGTCTCTTATGTAGTTGACAAGGACACCGATGATGGCGTTTGAAGGGCTGTCCCACGAGAGATAGAGACCTCGAGCCAAAGGAAGCCCCAGCTCCTGGTTCGAAGATTGTGTTAAAAGCAGAAAGGAGTGACAGGTGTGCGGAATGGAGGAAGGATACCCGGAGGTCCAGACCTTTATAGATACAATCCCGGTCCCTGCCATGCCCCGGCCGGGGCGGCCGGAGCGTCGACAGCCGGCCCGGCTGGCTCCCCTCTACAATTACTTTTCTTTCTCAGATGGCCGTTGTCGGGACGATCTTGTTCTGGCCATAACGATAACGTATCACACCAGCTCTGAAACTGATTCACGGTTATGTAAGCCCCTCAAAGACGGATTCTGCGATACCAAAGCACTTACACTGGTCACGTACAGCGTCATGAGTTCGCGACAAAGGGGTGGTCATCACACGCCATGCTTGGTGTTACTTGAGTATCAAAGAAGCCAGGGCTACCTATCATTGGTGCAAGATATATAGTGAGTAGTTGTGCGGATGTATTGCGTTCAAGCCTTTCGACTGAGTTTCAGTTCTCACTGTCGGACAATCCACATTTACAGCCTTGCCGAAGAAGTCACTGGGCACTCAGGATCTCGCCAGGGCCACGTCAAAAGACCTTGCCTTACTGGAAGACTCTCGAGAAAAGGTGTCATAATGTCAGGTGGCCATGCGGAGCCACCGAACAGGAGGTCAATTAGGGGCTAAGGGCTACGAGAACGTGTATAAGGACTGCGGAGGGCCAGAATTCAGATGTATCCCGACCCCCTGCCTATACTTTAAATCGCTGCGGAACACGTGTGGAAGACCTCTTCACTGTGCTCCAAATCAACTACTAACGCATAGACAACTGTGTGAACGTGGAAACTGAGCATCAAGGGCATTCTTGGGGTGCTTGAGACCGGAGACCAGGCGCGAGAAGCTTGATGGTTTGATAGTACATCAAGCAGAGGTGCAGATGCGCAAAGTACGGATCTTGATACAATGGTATTGGGAGCATAAGATTCAACATGAAGATAAAATCGGCCTCAGAACATTGAAAAAGAGCAAAATTTGGTGTCGATCTCCGGTGGCGACAATCACTGAACTGAATAAAAGTGCATTGCAAAAGGTATACATAAGATGCTTCCGAGGTCATGAAACCCAAGCCCAAACGCCGGCTGCCGTACTGTCCACGCGCCATCGTAGTCATCAAATGTGCTCGCCGACACATGCTAGCATCAACCTCTTGTAGTCCCCGCTCGTCTCGCCATCGATTCTCTTGGCCAAGCTCTTGCCGTACCTCTTGTGATACGCCCCCTTGACGTTGGCCAGTGTGCTTTGGTCCCAGTGAAACCTCACCACGCGCGACACGAGAAGGTGGTCTTTGGTGCCCATCCCTGCCATGGCGTCCTCGAGCAGCATGGCAGCGTGCATGTACTTGTCTGCAGCGTTCCTCACCTGGAACAGCAGCGCGTCCTGCATGTGGCCGGAGAACTCGGATTTGATGACGGATTCGAGGCTCTTGCGGAACTTCTGTTCGTAGGCGTAGGCAATGGCGCGAATCTGGTTATCGTTACGTGTGCTGAGGATGCTGCAGACGACCAGCTCGTCGGTGCCCATCTTGCCTTCGGTCGCGCGATAAATGTCCATGACATCCTGGTCGACCTGTTGCGGCACTACGGGTACCGAATCCTCAGCGCGGTTGGCGGCGAGTACAATCTCGAAGTGGCGCTTCGTCTTCATCGACAGGTCATTCGCGACATCTTTCTCCATGCTGCGGTGAAACGTGCTCCAGTAGCAGTTCTTGATGGCCTTAAGATCAGCGTTGGAGCGGCCGAGAAGAACGTCGTTGAGAACGACTTCCTTGGTGCCAAGCCCATCGACGGCGGAACGAATGTCGAAAGCGTCCGTCAGCAGAGGGCCGCGTACAATGGCGATGAGACCCTTTTCGAACCAGCCGCTCGTCTCCGACTTGATGTCTGCCTCGAGGCTGCGATTCTTGAATTGGCGAGAGAAGGACGTCTTGATGGCGTCGATCTGAAGGGGATCCTTGGTGGCGAGGCTGCGGATGAGGGCCTTTTCGTCCGTGCCGAAGCCTTTCATGGCCTGGCGTGCCGCAGCGGCGTCATGTGAAGCATCCCACTGGATGATCTGAGGGGCGCCGTAGCCGATGGACGGCGCCGTGGGTGGGCCGCTGTGATGTTGGGGAGGGGGTGCGCCGTACTGTCCTGGAGGGGGCGCGCCGTATTGTCCTGGAGGTGGCGCGCCGTACTGTTGATGGTGGGGTGGCGGAGCGCCGTACTGTCCGGGGGGCGGCGCGCCGTACTGGCCAGGAGGAGGCCCTGGTGGTGCTCCGTACTGACCAGGGGGCGGTCCTGGTGGTGCGCCATACTGGCCCGGAGGCGGTGCGCCGTATTGACCGGGCGGAGGACCGGGGAGCGCGCCATACTGGCCTGGCGGAGGCTGTTGAGGGTAGCCCTGAGGGGGATACTGCTGACCATAGCCACCCTGCTGCGGGGGGTACTGCTGGCCGTAGCCTTGATCTGGAAGCTGTCAGAATTCATCTGTTCTCAGTGCAGCAACTGGAGAGAGAAAAAAACGTACGGCCGCCGTAGCCGGGATACCCAGACATGATCTGGTGGTGTGTCGCAATGTCGGATGATTCTCGTCGTGGGCGCTTCGGGGGAGGACTTCTGGCAGGAGCAGCGGAATGCGGGGGAGACTTGAAGCTCGGGCTGATGCGGTCAGCTCGGATGGAGGGGTCGTCGGGTTTATAGATGTGTGCAGTCGGTCGGAGTGGAGGGGCAAAACGCGACGCGAGCTTACGCCGCACGAAGAGGCAGTGAAAGCAGCTTAGGGTGACGAGTGGTTACGAGGACAGAGGCGGAATGCGAGATTGGGAATGTGGTCAAGTGATGGTTAGGCTGAGCCAGCAGTGGCTTAGACCGAGCGGCGTGGAGCGCGCCGAGCCATACTAAGAGGTGAGGCAGGAGGTCTTTCGTTGGGTTCACCTGCCCAAGTGCCCCATGTTGCCCATGACGGTGCCTGCCCACGCTGCCCAGGAAGGTTCTTGCCCACGCTGCCCACGCTGCCCACGCTGCCCACGCTGCCCAGGATGGTGCCTGCTTGCTGCCCTACAGAGGTGTGTAGCGAAGAGTGGTGTCACTGGCCCACTGGGACAACGTCATCGTCAGTGGCACGAGCTCTCTCGACGCTGCCTGTCCTGTCTGTCCTCCCAGCCAAGCCGACTTGTAATGTGCACCGCCTCACGATCAACCCCGTCAACAGGCCACACATTTCGGCCTGTGCCTGTGCCACCCACTCGAGCGGGAGGACGGCAGGAGTGACGGACGAAGCTCATCGAAGCTCACCAAGCAAACGCTTTGCATAAGCAGGTGGAGCTTGTCATGCTCGGCGAAATCTTTTGTCATGCGAAGCCACATGTGCCCCATAAATTCTGCTTGTTAGCGTGGTATAGCCACACCTCAGCCTCGGACACGACAGACAAGTTCACTGCTTGAAGACACTGACTCGAAGACTTCACATGCACATACAGAAATTTTCAACAGTAAACCAGAATGCCGTGCCATGGTTTCACAGCCTTGAGGGCGTTTTCTTCTTCTGCATCTTGAACGAACATGTTCGGTCGTGCCAATGGGAGACCAGTTCCTGGTGGCTGGAAATAACAGTGGCTGGTAAGACAGGGCCACCAGGGTCCACCGACGCTGTCCTGGCCAATCGTGTGGCCTGATGCCCCCCAACCCCTGCAACCCGCCATGTCGCGCGTCCAGATGCGCACCAGACGTGCAGCGGCTGCAACCCCGCCAAATCTCTCCCAACCACCACAATTACGACCCTATCGTGAACATGAACATGCGATTCTCACCAGCCATCGTCAATTCTGCCACAAAGTGCCCACCCCGGCACCCATACATTAACATCATGGCAGCCCTAGACTCGGTTCCTGCGTCTTTTCCACTTTTTGTCTGGACTCTCGCGCACGACAGCGATTCTGCGACTGACGATCCTTACACGTCTCTTTCCATCTGAGATCTCGAGTCTTGCAGTCGCGTGCCCCGCCCCTACTTGCAACAGTCTGTCTGCATCACCAACACTTCAAGATGCGCCTCACAAACGCTCTTCTCCTGAGCTTCTCGGCGCGGGCCATCGCTCAGCCCGTCGCCAACGGCGTGCGCGCCAGGGCAGATGACCCCAAGCCCACCTGGGCCGTCGTCAATGTCGACGGCAGCAACGGCCATGGCGACTGCGACGACTGCGATTCGGCCACCGTCACCGTTACCAAGGCGCCGAAGCCTACAACCGTCACCCACCGTGTGACCGATACCGTCGTCCGCGTCTCCTCGGTGCCCGTCATCTCGATCGTGCCTGTCGAGGGCAAGCCTGACAAGCCCCCGGTCACTGTGACCGTGTACGGGCCAACGACTTTGACAACCTCCTCGACTTCGGCAACCTCCTCGACTTCGACAACCTCCTCGACTTCGACAACCTCCTCGACTTTGACAACCTCCTCGAGCTCGACATCGACAAGAACGCCGACAATTACACCGTCGACTTCGACCTCTGCATCCGCGACGACAACATCGAGCTACTCCTCCAGCACGGTGACTTCTACAACCCTTCCTATTGCTCCTGCTCCTCAACCTGAGCCCACACCTTCGACTACGCCTTCAGTGTCTCTGCCTAACCCCGAATCGACCACCACCACCACCTCCTCCTCCTCCTCCACGGTCGCCGCCGCGCCTCCCATCTGGGCTCCCGAGCCTGAGCTGCCTTCTTCGGCACCGGTCTGGCCCCCTGAGCCTGCGCCGACCACATCTCTTCCTACCGTATGGGAGCCGACTCCCGTACCTGCGCCCTCCCTCTCTGCACCTGTCATTGGCGTGCCAGAGCCCTCGCCTGTGTCTTCTTCGATTGAGGTCTCCTCGGCCCTGCCCTCTGTCAATGTGTCACAGCCCTCTGTGCCTGTGTGGTCGGCCCCCAGCGCCTTGCCCTCAGAGTTTGTCAGCTCAGCGGAGCCCACGAGCTGGGCGCCCACGCCTACGACTCTCGTCACTCTCATCTCAAGCATCACGGAGGCCCCTGTGCCGGTGTCGACAACTCACACTCCCGACGATGGCCTCTGGTACAGCGCCAAGTACCCACCACACCACAACGGCACCGAGGGTCGCTTCTGGAAGTAAGCGGCGGGCAGGAAGCAGCAAGCTGTACAGTGTACGACTAGGCACATTTTCTTTTCCATGTTTCTTGCATCTCAGCGCGGCGCATTTGGTTTTTGGTTTTTTGGATTTGACGTTGTACGTGTTTCACGGAGTGCAAAGGGGAGCATGTCACAAATGATGGTCATAGAAGGAGGAAGTGGAAATGAACACAAGAGGAGGGAACATGTCCATGGCACCGACCAAGAGCTGGAGCGGATCATGCCGTGCAAGGGGAGGCCATAATGCATAATAGACAGAACAATACGAACAATGCGAAGAAAATCACCCACCATCCCCCCCCCCCCGGACCACCATGTGACGAGCCCGCAGTGGCCAGGTCAACGGGAGCTAGGCTGAAGACATTTTGTGCGACATGTCTCCCCATACCGACTGACCGCAGGCATCGCGCGTGGCTTGCTTCTGACTGGCCGGGCTGGAAGGGGGATGGGGAAAACAATGAATGGGAATTCTCAGGCGGGCGCCACGGCTGTGGTGCGGTCCATTCTACTGACAAAGGACCGGCGCCGGACGCCGGAACTGTAGATTGGTGGCGCAACCAGCAACTCCAGGCTGGCTTCTGCTGCTGGGAGACGCCTTATATCAGATGCGAAGGGCCGACAACAAGTCACGATGCGATTGGCACGCTCGTCTGCGTCTCTGCGAACCACCCGACACCCCAGCCCACCCATCTTCGAAAGGTCGTTCCGCGACAAGTTGCCCCTAAACATGGCACACGACGAGACCTCCGGCGCTTACCAGCCAGGCGCTCCCACAAGCAAGCACGTCCTCACAAGCAGGACAGACACACCCGCCTTCCTATCGAACGCCAACGCCACAGCCATCGCCATCGCCCTACCCATCGCGACTCTCTTCGGTCTCATCCTCGCAGCGGGCCTGATCTGGTTCATTCTGCGCCGCCGATCCAGACGCCGGGCTCTGGCGAAAGCAAAGGAGGAGCAGGCCAAGGGCTTTGAGCTGCGGGACGTCGCGCAGGTCAGGGTCCGGGCTGGCGGGAAGGGAAGGGAGGTCTGGGATGAGGAGGACGCTGGCGGCAGGGCTGGGGGGAGTGCTGTGTAGGCTCGAGGCGCGGAAGACTGGGTGTTGGAGGGACGAGTGCGAGTGCTGTGCATGGCGAGAGATGTGGTGCTGAAAGTCCCCGACCAATCCATTTACACGGATCATCAGGTTGTCCGCTCCTTTTCTTGGGGTACCTTGCGCACGAAGAGCTGCCCACGCACCATCATGGATGACACGACGCACGTCGACGACGGTCTTGGTATTCAGAAAATCACCTTTTCCATTCGGATACTGACCGCCGCTGGCCCTCGCAACACAATTATGCCACGCCAAGATCTCGATGCCGTGCGGTGAAGCGACGGGGACGCGGCCGCCCAATCGGGATTCACCACGTCCGTCCCGCTGGGCCACAGGCGCTGGGCAGCAACGCGAGCCGCGGCGGTGATGGTGGTGATTCAGACTCGAGGACTCGGGCGACCGAGTCATTGGGCCGTGATGGAGGGAAATGGGGAGGGTATATGAAGAAGGGGCTGCAAGGTTACGGGCGACGTTCGACTATCGATCAGTAACATTTCGTCACGATGCACTTGACAACAACCAACATGAAGACGTCCACGATTTTCAGCCTGCTTCTTGCCCTGCTGGTCGCCGCAGGCTCGTCTTCGCCGAATTCAGAAGGCGCAAACATTGACGCATCAGCACGGCGAGATCTCTCCAGCGAAGCCCAACTCCACACACAGCCACGGCGATCATCACCAGCACCGCCAACGCCGGCTTTCCCCTTGACGCGCCGTCAACAATCTCCCGGCGCGCCTGTTCTTCGGAAGGACAGTGGAACTGCCTCACGCGCCAGTGGCAGCGCTGCGCCAGCGGACAGTGGAGCGTCGTCATGGACCTGGCCGAGGGCACGGCGTGCGCGCCCGCCGGCTTGTCGGACGAGTTCCACGTCGATCACGCGGGCGGCGGGGGCCGGAGCACCAGCAGCGCGGCGCCGAGCAGGGGCGTGCCGGGGCTGAGCACGGCGGCAGGACGAGGGGTGTCGGTGCTGCGCGGGGTCACGGGTGTCTGCGTTGGGTTTGCGGTCTGGGTCGAGGCGAGGGCGTGGATCTGACGGCGGTTCTGGGTGCTGGGACTTTTTTCGGAGAACCTGGTGTTGATCGAGCACGGGTTCCGGGGCGCTTTGTGGACCGAGGATGATCTTTGTCAGGAGCATAACGCATGAGGTTACATCGCCCTGGCGCCTATGGGATTTCCATCCTCAAAATGGTTCATATCATGGAGAGCTTGTGTGTTCTTGCTGCTATGCATGTGACCTGGCCCTGATTTCAGCAGGATTCATTTGCACGTCATCCTATCTGCAAGACGGGCCTGCGAGGCTTGCAGAAGATTGTTTCAAAGCCAGCAGAGATGGTTTGGCGACAAGTCAAAATACACAGCCAGACTCGACAGCGCCCTGATGGCAGGTTTGCGACTCCAGCACTCTCGACGTGACATCGCGGCTTTCCTGCAGGTCATCGCGACCCTGTCTGTGTTCAAGCACATGCCAGATCGTCCATCGAGGCTGAATGGGGACCGAGCATTTCGCTGCACGCCCCCTTTCTGCGGTCAAACACTGACAGTGTCGGAGATCTTCCCCAGGACAGCATGCAGATCGTAGGGCAGTCCTTCGAGAAGACATGTGACGCTTGAGAGCTTCCTTTCTCAGAAAGCTCTCGCCGCAAGAAGAAACGTCGTGGCTTTTCCGTCCCTGCAACGCATCACAACCCTCGAGGCCATGTGCCAGCCGTGAGACTGATCTTGACAAATTGTCGGGAGCAATGACAGCCAAGGACCAAGCATGGCCGGATGCCAACATGGTCCCTCTCTCTCGTCTCGTTCGCCCAGTCCAGGCCCTCATGTACACTCAAGACACTGACAGACAGCCCAGGCCACCCTCAGACCCCTCGTCTGAAGAACCGAGAGGCAAAAAGGCACCAGCGCATCCATCCCCACCAGGCCTCGGTTCGGTTTCGTCTGTTCGGTTTCGTCTGATCTCGCCGTCCGGATCGGCGTCGCATCCCGGAGCAGCGGGGCCATCTTCAAGCGACGATGGGGGCAGGCAGCTCGGCCAGCAACTTGTGATTCTGAATGAGAGATGAGCGAAGCAGGGAGTCGGTGATAGCATCAAGGCATGGCAGGAAACAAAAGACGACCTTCCTTGGTCATGAAATCTCCGAGCCGCGCCCCTGTTCCCCCTCACGCAGTTCGCGTCACCAAGTCAGGCAGGAGAGAAACACTGCCGAGATGTGATCTCTCCGAGCCGGACGGCCGGGAAATGCTGACGGCAAGGTGACTCCGGTGCAGGGGAGGGGGGCCAGAGAGCAGGGCGTGGTGTTCATTACAAGAAGTTGATGAAGGCAGATTGTGATGCGCTTTGGCTTTCGCTGAATTGGGCTGACGCCTGGTGCAGGGACCAGGAGGTCCTTTGGATGACCGGGGGGCCAAAAGGGAAGCCAGGTCTTGCCGGGCCTGGTGACCTGGAGGAATGGGCTCGTGCGAATGTCGTCTGTGGTTGGACCCCTGGGGGCGGGGATGAAACGGCGCCGCGGCCCCTGACATTTGCCCCACCGGCTGCCGCTTGTCAAGCTCGCTGCAGGCCGCTGTTCAGGGAATTGTAGGTAAGGTAAGGTACGGTAGGGAGAATGGTTGGCGATGGGGTCGGTCGTGTTGAAACGGGGAAACATCCACAGACGGAAGGGCTGAGCCAACGGAGGTCATGGCTTGCGATCTGTGCCAGGCTGATGAGGACGACCAGGCTGATGAGAGGAACGTATGGCTTGGATGGTTCGACAGCTGGCGCAGGCACAGACGCCAGGCCATTTGATTCTGGCCAAGTTGACTGTCCTCGGCACGAGAAACAAAGGAGGACTGCGCTGTGTCGCCGACAGTAGCTAGCGCAGGTACAAGTAGGCGAGGCCAGGCGCTGTGCACGTGGTGAGCACCGAGCACCCCCAGCCCAGCCCAGCTATGTCCCCCCCGTCAGCCAACCAACCGTCTGATGATACCGTGCCGCCCGTGGCATGACATGACCGATGTCTGTTGACATTCGCGTGTACCGGCTGGCAAGGTACAAGTAAGACAGGTAATAATAATAAAGGCAGATAATTAACCCCAAGTCGTGCAGACAACGACCGGGCGCCAGGGGGGGAACTTGTGATGATCATATGAATGGGAGGATCTGCCCTCCTTTGTTGACGGAATCTCGTGAAAGAAGACTTTTCGTCTTTCTTTCTTCTCGGCTGGGCGGTTCTCTTCAGTTGCGCAGCGTCGTCTGTCTTTTTTCCACGTCACTCTTTTTGCTCTGTCTTGTGCTGTCTTTTTGGCATGGTCAACACTGTCGACCATTCTGCACGCAGTCTGCCGTCTTTGCTGTGAGCACACCTATTGCGACTGTCTGCCTCGCCTCCAGCATCCATACGGTGGATCTATTGTTGTCGAATCTTGGCCTCGAGGCCCCCAATCCTCCGCCCATCGCCCCCTCGAAAAGACGAAAATAAACATACACGCCGAACAACACAACTTGCTCCTCGAACCGTCAGCCGCCGAGGCTGATTGAAACACGACCCCTTCCTCCACTCACGACGCAAGGCCAAGGCACCCCGTCTTTCTGGCTCGGATCGAGAAGCGAACGGGGTTTGAAGACAGGGAACGTTGTCGCCATCTCATGCAGAGAGTGCTTCCAAATACTTTCGGGCAGCACTCAAGCGTGCGTGTGAAGAAACGGTGCATTGAGATTGATGCATCTTTCCTGTTGATTGAGTCGCCGATATCTCTCCTGTCTGTCTGCTTCGAGGCGCTGGACGGGTTCCAACAGCATCTCCTACACACAGCCCAGGCTGCATGCGACATTCACCCACTAACCAACGCTCTATACACCCCCTAGCGGGCTTTCGGTCACCCAGACGCAGAAGCAGAGCAGGCGGAGTACAGGCGCCTGAGCGCTAATTTCCAAGGGACCCCGACCTCAAACACGACCGAGCCCTCCTTCCGCCCCGCCCCTACCAAAACTACGTACCTCCAATGTGGGACCGGCTCAGGCCCAACGCGGCGGGCGCGACCGTTGGAGGAGCAGGCGCAGAAGCCGCAGCAGGAGCAGGAGCAGGGGCAGGAGCAGGAGCAGGTGCAGCCGCCCCTCAAAAGATGACGATCTCGCCTGCCCGACAAGGCCGTGACGTCTCGCCCTTTGCCTTCCCCTACGACAAAGCATCAACCGGCGTCACCACAACCATCACCGCCAATAGCCACTGGACCGACGACTTTCACGCGACCAGGACCAAGACGAAGAAGACGCTGCCTGCCGACGCGAGCCCGAGCCCCCGAAGATACGAGATTCGGCGTGGTGTTGCGCATCGCGTGGATTCGGCTGATCCGTGAGTCTCCTCTTGCTGCATTCCTCCTTTTCTTTGTGCCGTTCTGCTGGGATATGCACACGTGCTCGATTCTGGCGTTCTTTGCTTCTTCGCTGCTGCAGAGTCTCACGCTCGCGTGCCAGGGACGAGGTGTGATCGGCACGTCATGGCACGACAAGTGGTCATCCATCCACATACCATGCGTGCCATGCTCGTGCCACGACCCACGCAAGGGCGAGTGCCCCTCGAGCTACCTTGGGTGGCAGTGATAAGAGACAAACCCACCCGACGTGAGACTGGGCTGTGCGACAACGTCCTCGTGTGACGCTGCTCATGACCAGCGCTAATAGACTCGTGTCAGCGACGACTTGCTTGCCCCTCCCGTTCGCCAACCGCCCCCTCGAAACCCGCATCGCAACACCAACCGCGGCGACGTCGACCGCACCACCGCCGCCCGCCTGGCGCCCCCGCCTTCGTCTCTCTACTCGGAGCCGTCCCCGAAGGAGGACAAGTTCGCCATCGTGGCCCGCCCCAGGCTCATACGGCTCGCATGCCGACGACATTTTCACCGCCGAGCTCGCCTGAGCTCGCAGGTCGTAGCGATGCGTACGTTGCTTCCTCCGTTTTGCCCGCTTCACAGTACCCCCTTTATACTCCCGCCCTGCTCCCCTTCGTCCGGCCAATCGTTGCAGCAATTTTGTGTGCTGACAGCGAGCCCAGCCGCCATGGCGACGACGACAATGTCTCGCCCATAGACGAGGCCCCCGTCATGTCCCAGCTGGATATCGCCAAGCAGCATCACCGACGATTTCTCGAGGACCAGCAGCGAAAACAGCAGCTACAGCAGGAGCTCGAGAAGGGCCAGCGCCAACCACAGCAAGCCTCGCCCTCGCCGCACCAGCGGAGCCAGATTCCCATGATGCGCCGCGACCGTCGGAAGCAGCAGGACAACGCGGCGACCCAACTTCGCGAGACCCGGTCCAAGGAGCTGCTTCACCGTCAGCCCAGTCAAACTACCAGATGGGACGATCAAACCGGAAAGCCCATCCACGACGGCAGCCCGAGCCCCCAACCCCACCAGCAGCTGCCGCCTGCGGCCACCCAACGGAACCCGATGAAGGCCTTTGGCGACCGCGTCCGCAAGATGAGGCCCGGCATGGGTGACGGCAACAGCGCCAAGCCCGCCATCTCAGCCCCCATCACGGCGCCCACGTCCATTGACGAACGCCCTGGCTGGCGTGGGGCAAGCGGCCGCCAGAACATTGTGCAGTCGGTGCAGGACACGCCGCAGGTCGCGCCAATCCACATCCCTCGGAAGAGCAGCAAGAGGGCCGCAGCCCAAGCCGCTCGTGTCGGCGG